CATGTATAATAAATAGTATTTAAATACTGCTTACTGATACAGGCTAATATTTACCAATGTTGGTTCTTAGGGGCTTTAACTTTCAACATAAACTGCTGGAACCCTGTTGTTGTGTACTTGCATTTTAATATGTCAAGGGGCTTTAATACTTCTCCTGCACCTGAGGTACATGGGTACAGTTAGGCTTCATGACTGCCACTTGACATCACATGAAGTTTCCTGAAGTCATTCTGGCATGCCAAAGGATGACTAGGCAACAGTGCAGGTTTGTTCAGATAAGCAGCACCCAGAGCACACTCTGGGTCATGGTTTGCACGGTGATACAGAGGCACACACACACCAGGGCCCTGACATCTGCCTCTTTACAGACGGTTTGTGATCGCATCAAACAGGAGCTCGGCGAGCGCTGGCTCCTTCGGGCAGAGCTGCTCACTCAGGCTGCCAGTCCCCACGCACATGACTCTGGATCTGCTAAAGATGGTATTTGAAAAGGAGCCCTGCCAGCATTCACCAAGCAGCTCTACAAACTGACTGCTCTGTGTCAGCGCAATTTGAGTGTGTGGAGCAGTCTCAGAGGGCTGTGCCTTTGTGAGCAAACACTGATGTGGCTGCAGCAAAAGACGCGACATCAGTACAGTGAGACAGAATGTATGAGAAACTGGTTTATCTCTGAGAGACCAGCAGTGATAACATGGATTAATAGAGTCAGGATTATGTCATGATATTAAATACTTTTTGCATCAACCAAGATTTATTCTTCAAGAGACAGGGCTAAAAAAAACCCCTATATCACAAGCTGTTATTTCAAGAAGCAAAGGAAGTAAGCTTTTTGCTCTCTGGTAAATATTAGCAGATTACTCACATTAGTGAAGTGAAAATTACAAATTCTTCAATCCCACAATTCCTTTGGGTTTAGTGGTAAGACTACATCAGAATCAACTGCCTGGAAAACACAACCATCTTCCCTTGCTAACTGATACGTGCAGAAATGTCATAGCTTCCTCAGGACAGACAATCAGCTTCTGAAAAGACCTCCAAAGACCATTTTTTTTCATATATTTTCATTGTAGTTGCTTTATCTGGTGGCTTATATCACCAGTTAAATAAAAAAAAAGGTAAACACTAGGAAGATCCACCTCACCACTGACACAGAGATACTGCCAGTTATTTGAAACATCACAGATATTCCAGACTTGTATGGAGACCCTCAGCAGAGCCAGGAAGTGCCATTCACAAATAAAAACAATATGACATCATCACACACTTAATTGCTTGCCAGTGACAGGGTCAACTTTGTTTGTACAACTGCTGAGTATCACACTGTTTGCATGTACTGATATGCCACTCCAGGCCCCACAATCACTCAATGACAACTGACAGAGTTATCTTGAAAACAAACTTGTTACTATGCAATTTGAATTTGCTATTTCTGAGAGATAATGTATTTTATAATTACAGCTGCTTTTTAAAAAGAACTGTTGTCAATTCCTTTGCTGGTCTGCAGGCAATCCAGGCCACCCTGCTTTAAAGAGCATTGTCCTTCACAACTGTTGAGTGTGGTCAAGTGACCTTCTGGGGAATTAAAAGTGATCTGCTTCAATTCACAGGCTCTTTGGTCAGACAACCAGTTTTGGGTATTAGCTTGACATCTTCTGGCATGTTTCAACAGAGATAGTCTCTCCTAATTTTAGTCAGGGCATTAGCTGAACCCTCCACAGACCTTCAGATTAACAGCACTAAGCAAGGAGCAAAGATTTCCTCTTCCTTTCCTTGAAAAGCAATGAACTCACAGTTCTTACTAAAACTAAAATAAGGAGAAACTTTCAGGGTCACACTTAAGTTCCTCTAGCTTCTGTATGGTTCTGGAATAGCCACAGCTGTAGCTGCAGGCCTGCCACACAGCACAGCCGTTTAGTCTGTTGCTACCTTCTTTGCACTAATTTTTCTATTCAGAATTCTCCACCTGACAAAAAGCAAGTCAGGAGAATTCAAGGTAAAAGCTTCCTATGGCAGTAAGAGATACAGGGACATACATCTACCTACATGCAGGGTCTCATGCTTTTATCAGACTTCAGATATTTACTGGATTTTGTCTCTAATTGGGGTGGATAAAGCACAAGCATTTTGTTGGAGAGACTCTCTCTTTCAATGCTGCATGCAAACTTTTAAACAGTCACACCTGACTGAAGTTAACCAGCCAATGCAAG